GATTGGATGTTGTTGCAAAGAATTGAGAATTCTCTCTATGTCTCTCTCTATCTCTCAATCCTAAATTTCAGTAATATAAGAGGAAAGGAAAAGAAAGCAACAATTTCACCATTGATAATCATCAAAAAGCTTTGAAGCTTTGAATTCGAATTTAGGTTTTCAAAAATCATTATTTGTTTGGATTTGGGGTTGTTAAAAATAATTGGAAATATGGTTTGGAGTTTATATCTCAATTTTGAGGGGTTTTGGTGAAGATTAGACTTGGTTTTGACTGAATTTCAGATTGTAACTCGAAGAAGAAATGAAGAAGAAGAAGAAGACATGACATACATTATATTGCAGAAATTGTAGAAAAATTATAGAAAAAATGTATTCTGCTGTTTATTTATTTTTCTTTTATTCATTTAACTATTGTATGAAAGTTGAACAACATTGTATAAATATTGTATTTAAGTGTATATTGTAGTTGTATATAACTTAGTAGAAATAATGTACGAAAATTGTAAATAATTTGTAGATAAGTTGTATAATATATAATTAGTTGTATGAAATTTATTTTTACTATGTATAAATCAGATACAAAATATACAAAAGACATATTGTATAAATTTTGTATGTAAGTTTTATGTTATTGTAGTTGTATTTAATTGAGTGGAAATAATGTGTAAAAGTTGTAGATAAGTTGTATTCCTCTATAACGGGAGATGTTGGCATATCAAGTAAATTTAGTGTTACAGACGAACATGCATGAAAATAAAAATAAATTCTGTTATGAACAATTTGTAGAAATTTTGTAGATAATTTGTAGAAACATTGAAATTCTATATTTTCATATTAATTTTTCAAATGATATGTAGTTTTATTGTAGAATGTAGAAATTTTGTGGATATTGTGAAAATCCATATTGATATATATATATTTACTCTGACATGTAGTTTATTTGTAGATAAAATGTAGATAAAGTGTAGGACATTTATATACAACCAGAATTTGATATAAAATGTAACAACACAAACATGCAACTGTGTTCTCATTGGTGATACTCAATTTCATATTGAAATCGCGAACAGTTATACATAGCGGATATGATCCTAAGTTTTTTGTTTTTTCAACTTTCATACAATAGTTAAATGAATAAAAGAAAAATAAATAAACAACAGAATATAATTTTTCTACAATTTCTGCAATGTAATGTATGTCATGTCTTCTTCTTCTTCTTCTTCTTCTTCTTCTTCTTCTTCTTCTTCTTCTTCTTCTTCTTCTTCTTCTTCTTCTTCTTCTTCTTCTTCTTCGAGTTTCAATTTGAAATTCAGCCAAAATCAAGGTTAATCTTCACCAAAACCCCTCAAAATTGAGATATAAACTCCAAACTATATTCCTAATTATTTGCAACAACACTCAATCCGAACAAATAATGATTTTTGAAAACTCAAATTCGAAATTCTCTAAATCTCCCATAGCTATCCTAATTCTCATTCAGTTGTAGCATAATTAGGATTTTGGACATAATTGCGTTTGTTGAAGAAGAATTGTAGAAGATTTAGTCGTTTTTTATTTGTGAAATCAGAAAAATGATGAAACAAGAAGCGAGATCGTCCCATTTTTGTTTCTAAGAAGTTAACTTGTCAAAAGAGAATTAAGCTGTTGAAAAAAAAATAGAACTCAGCTAATATGTGAACTAAGATAACGAGAGAAACTTAGCACGTTAGTGATTCATGTGTCATTGAATACGTTTTTGGAAATTTGCAATGATTAGTTTATGCAAAAATAACTCTGAAACTTTTCAAATTACACCACGAAAATCGAAATCTCGACAGCATTTGTGGTTTTGCGACTCTAGGTTTCTTGATAATTGATTTTGCTTGAAGCTTTCAAACTCCATGAAGGAAGAAAAATAAGGAAGCCTACAGCTACAATGATTTCTTATTTAATGAATTGTCTATATTTTGTAAAAATACTATTAGCATGGCGGGTAATATGCAAACTATGAACATATTTGGTAATATAGTTTCCTATATGGTATAGGAACGAAAATTTCCCTTCAGGAAAAAGAAAAAAAAAACTACGGTCAAGCCTCTCTATAAAAACCTCGTTTGTTCCAAATTCTTTTAGTTGTTATAATAGCGAAGTGTTGTTATAGAGAACATATATTATAACATAGCATGAAAATTGGTTCCAAAAGAAACTTGGTTTTCATAGTAAATAGTTGTTATATAGGGATATTGTCGTAGAAATGTATGAGTGTAGTACACATTTGAGATAAATTTTGACTTAAGAAAAACTTATTTTTCAGGTAAGTTTCAGCAAATCAACCGAAAACCTATGACAGGGATAGATGTTGGTGTTTGAAACTTTAAGGTTCAAGGACGTGATCATGCGAACACAAAATGTTTACTATAATTGCTCATCTATATGCATAATTTAAGACCAATTGCCATAGCAATTAAAGAAAGTGGCTTCAGTTGAAGATAACTTCATGATTTTAGTCTGAATCATGGAAGATAAACGGCTTTGGTCCAAATACCAGCGGGCTAGCTAGTTTTTGGATTGGTCATTCAAAAATAGTCAGCGTTTGTAAAGTCATTAAAAAATAGTCACTATTTTGCTGCAACACAAAAAGTTTCATCATAACATATTCCAGCATAATATACTGGAGATTGGAGCACATGTGTATGAACTTCCAGCATATTATACTGGACCTAATATATTATGCTGAAAGTCCAGTATATTATGCTGGAGTATTTTCCGGATTTTAAACAGTATTTTTGTTCAGATTTATATTTACCTGGAAAGTGACTAAATTTCGATTACTTTTGAAACTATTGCTATTTTTTTGAATGACCACTTGTAAATTTAGCTATTTTTTTAATTTCTACCACGTTTTGCTTATCAATGTCAGCCCAACATATCGTGCGAGTGACTTGAGTTGAATATAGGGAAATTTTCATAAAACACTATCTTTTAATAGTAATTAGCCATCTATAGATATCATTTGATATATTACGGATTATAGATACCTTTTATGTAGTTATAAGTTGTATTTGATGTATTTAAGCTATTGTATTCATGAATACAGTAGTAAAAATAGGTGTGGGAAGTCCAGCTAATCAGTTGTTGTATTCGAGTGTATTCGACTGTATTCATGGAGTGAAACATGAGATTACAGCTGGACAGATTATTGTATTCGACTGTATTCAACTGTATTCACGGCGTGAAATAGGGGATTATACTGTTTTTAAAATGGAAAGTGAATCAATTAACATAATAGACTCCTAATATAACTCAACAAACTCAATTATAATACACAAATTTTGTATTTTCAGTTATAAAAAAGATTCTCAACCGAAAAATACCCCAAAACATAGCAATCTTCAGAGAAATTATATAATACATCTGAATACATAAATTATATTAATTAAAAAAAATTATGAATACATTCATGGCATATAGCGAGACAGTGAATACGATGAAATACATAGAATACAGCGGGATACATTGAAATACAATGAAAAAAATACAGAGAATACAATAAAATACATGGAATACAACGAGATACATTGAATTACAATAAAAAAAGACAATGAATCCAATGAAATACATGAAAATACAATGCAATACGTTGAAATTACATTGAAATATATTAAAGGAAATGTTCTTCTTCATCGCGAAAGATAAAGTTGTGACGTGGATGTCACGTGGAATTCTCTGGATTGATGAAGTTGATTTGAAACTGAATCAGGGGAAGGCAAATCAGATGGAATAACAAGCTTTGGTTGCAATTACGGAGGCAGTTGTAGTTGTTGTTGTTGCACGCCGGAAACAGCCGTCGCATGCGGCGAAGATAAATCCACAAATCCTCCTTCCTCATGCTTCTGTTTCACTACCCCAAGAGTCATCTGTGAAAATTGCTCCTCAAAATTTCCACCCTTTTGATTCTCCTCAACGTGAACTTTTATCGGCGTCAAATTCATAGAAGACATAGACCCAAACTGTTTGGAATCTTTCATACTTTGCACATAATATCACCAATAAAATGTTTGGTTACCTTTTGAATCTTTCATACTTTGCACAAATCCGGTGGAAGGAGGAGGAGATCGAAAATTTTAATGGGATGGGGGAAGAGTATGAGATGTATCAAAGTAGAGAGAGAAAGAAAATAGTGTAATTAATTAGCGTATTTAGTGACTTAGGACTAGGAAGTAACCAAAATTAATATTTTGCTATAAACCTTAAAAGGTATCTATGGAATATTATTTTTTTAAATGATATTTATTTAAAATAAATAAGGTGTTAACCTTTACTATAGGAGGTAAAAACTCCTTGAATATAATGTCGTTTTAATTTTTAATTTTTACTCACGTGGAGTTTTGATATTTAGGGACTGTTTGGCCCATAAAAAGATTCCTTATTTTGAAATTCTTTTCACTTTTTTTCGATATCTATGTTTAGCCATGAAATTTTCGATTCACTTGAAAATGAATTTCGAAATTTTTTGAAAATTTGAAAAACTCCTAAAACCTATTTTTCAAAATTCACTTTAGATCACTCACAAAAATTCAAAAATAGTCCAAAATTATATTCAAATCCAAACACAACTGTAATTTTCAAATACCATTTTCACTTGAATTTTTTTTTCCACTTTTTTCCGAAATTTTACAATTCTTATGTCCAAACACCCACTTATATACTTAAAAGGAATGTTTCTCATTTCAATAGCCACACTTCAATCATTTCCTTTTTGTTTCCTACACAATGAGTAGGTTTTAAATATATTTTTCCAACATTACAATGTGCCCCTATAAGATAGTTTGGTATTACAATTTTACATAGTATTTAAACAAAGGCTAATCCCTCGCTGCTGATAGGTTAAGAGACGTGCACAAACAGAGGATCCGCATTTACACCAATGAGTTGCCTTTCGTTTCAATGTAGCCTTTTCTTATCAAAATGTCTGCACAAGCACAAATATAGTTGAAATAGCGCTTTACACGATGCAATAGTATAAAAAGATGCCGTCGAAACAGATATGCTATATCTATAACTTATTGGTTTTACAATTCTGCAGTTTGATCTGGCGAACATCTTAAACAATGTCAGAACTTGAAACGTGCTAACAATATCATTTCAAATATCTCCCTCAACTGGCAATGCAGAACGCCACCATGTTCTTTGACCAAATAAACAATCAGCCATTGTCTAACCAATTCAGGTGCAACAGGAAGTGGCTATCATCATGCCCATCATTATGAAAAGATGTGCAACAGGAGTCATAACATTTTAACTAGGCATGTTGCAACGTGAATCTCAGTAGTACATGGTATAGCACGAAAGACCAATCACATGGATTTAAACAACCCAGCATTTGAGAAATAATAATACAAAATGTAACAACATTGGGATATTACCTTAGTACGGATAGCCAGGGGTGCAAGAGCTGTCTTTCCATGAGATCATCTTCCTATGATCTCTACCTCTAAATGATCGAGCGACAAGCTGACCAGTCATAGGTTTGCACAAACCAACATCAATCACAGAAGTGCTCTTTCTCTTCTCAGACGATGACTCCCCATCTTCAGCATAAAAGTCAAACAGCAAGGCAAGACAACGAACCTGATGAGCCAAGACTAAGTTTTCTTCATCTGCAGGTATAGCGTTTATTATGTGAGCATTGACCTGCAACAGATTAAATAGCTACTTCAGTTTAGGATTGACCAATAAAATTGTCGCAAACTGACATCACAATCTCAAATTCTCAATTAGTGAACAAATTCAGCTATTGTCTGAGGAATCCTCAAAATTACGGTGGGTTAGTTAAGGAATAAACCTAGAGTCTCCTTTTCACCAAACATTAGCCACAAAGCTTCGCAGTTGAATTTGCATTGTACTGCAGGCCTACCTTACATGGATTAAGAACGCTCAATTTTTAGATATATATAAAACACAAATACCCACTTGACACAGTCCAGGCAAATAAAGAGTCCATGTAACATAGCCATATGCAGCAAAACCAACCATTACGTTTGTTACTGCTTACCTCTGCTTCCATGCTGCGAAGTTCATTGTACCACACAGAACTATCCACCATAGAAAAGTTCTCCGACTGTATCGCCTCATAAAGGCTCAATGTGAAAAGAGGAGGCCTAAGTGGATACTCCTTGCTGATTTTGATCTGCCATAAGAATTGACCACTCATGAAGAGGAAATTTAAATTGAATTTGAGATAGAAAATGAAAAGGGTAGGATGTTAGACCTTGGATTCCAATTTCATTTTTCTTTCCTCGTTATCCATCTTTCTTGTCAGAACGAGACAATATTCCTGAACCTTGCAGTCCACCCATGACTTGTCACTGAACCCAGCAAGTCCAGGGGTATTATTACTATCCTGCCCAACCTGCACAGTATCATCCACTTCACTATCTGATTCCAGAATAAGATCTGCATCATCTCCGTATTTCTTAAAACTTGGTGACTTCCCCTTTATAATTGGAGAGCTGGCACTCTTTGAAATGAAAGCCAGCTTTGTGGACGGATCAAAATTGATTCTTTTATTTGGAGTGACATTAGTATCATTTATAGAAGTGACTGGAACTAAAGATGGAAGCTCCCCATCCTCCCTCGTGCTTTCTACCTCTTCTTTTGAAGAGGCAGATTTCCCGTCCACCACAACTTCTGTAGGAAGCTGAACTTGTTCTATTTCTGCGACAGCCAATGTTGAAACCTGACTAGGAGATGGACAAAGAGGGACCCATGCATGCAAACTACAGCGAGGATCGTGTGAGGCCCAAGGAACACTTCTACTGGCTAGAACTGGCCAGTTTAGGTTCATTAGAGAGTCGAACTGCTCCCTGTAACTCAGCCAAAAAAAAGTTCAAATTTCCAACATGAGTTACGCCTTGCTTTTTAACCTTAAGGGCAAACAATAAAAGAGGAATAGGAGAAAAAGACAAGTCCCCAGAAATGGAATTTCAGTACTGAAAGATCAAGGAATAAGACATCACATCATTCTCCGTGAACAAGAGGACAGAGTAGAAAACAGAAAGAAGGCCGAGAATGACCTTGCAGAGCAAGGGAAACATTAACTATCTTTAATAAATTCAAACATCTTCAGCAAAACAAAACTGCACATAAGATCATCTCTGCCACAAGTCAGTCTCATCTATGATATTTGTCCCTATGGATCCATGATGCTAAACATACAGTTACAGTGACTCACGCTAGAGCCAGCTGAGCCTTTTTCCGAGCACGAATCCGTTGCACAACCGTTTGCACCCGATTTTGCTGCCGATACAATGATAGACCAGAGATAACAGCAGCGTGTTTTGCTGTTTCATCATTTGAAGTCTCAAAACCCCTAAGTGATGGTGACACCTCAGGTAAAAAGTCGATGCCTGCCAGATGCTGGGCCCACTTGTATGGTCGTGACGTTCTCCTTTCATCGAACACAATAGAATGATCAATTAGCTTAGCTGACTGCAGAACACACACGAAGTTGAATCAATCAGAAAGACTGAAACAAACAGTTGAAAGTACAAGGAATAATTAATACACCAATATCTCAAGCTGAAAACCTGGCGTGGAAGCTCAAGGCCTGTGTCATCCGGAAATAAATTGCATAAGATGTCATTATCAGGATTCTCTTGAGAGCCTTCAACTCCAACACACACAATATTCAACTTAATTAAGTACTCAAACTTCAAGGTGACAAGTTTTGTAGATTGTATCTCATCATCGTGTATATGAAGTGTGACTTTAAGTGGGTGAGTTTGATAAATTCCAGCCTGCTCCAGACTTTCCTTGCTGGGTATCTTTTTGGGACGCTTTCTTCTCCGTTGTCCATCATCTTCCTCATCTATATCATCATCAACTTTAGAGCTCTCTAAGCTGGCAGACACACCTTCACATGAATGATTTATCATTCAGATAGGAACATTTAGAAGAAGAGCAAAGGAAGTAAAGAAGAAAGTGTTCAACCAGAAAGGAACTGAAAATAAATACAATCAAGCTCAAGTAAACTAAAGGAGATATAATCAGTGAAATTGGGTATAAAAACAGCACAACCACTATAGTGCAACCAAAAACTAGAGCATAAATGAACAGGCATGCAGAATAAAATAAGCTGAACAATGTAAAGTAGAAGCTCATGGTTTCCCATGAGTAGAATCTATTTAGTAATACTCAGAATAGAAATGGTCATTAAACTGATAAAGGTAGAGACTTAGACTTCTTCTTCGAGAAATCTTCACGATACCTTCAAGGTCGATTTCCACTACCAAAATGATTCACTACTTCGACTTAAACTTCAATTAATCTTCTACACTTAGACTTAAACTTAGACTTTTCCTTTTTGAACTCTTTCAACAGACCTCCAAAGTCAAAAACTAGCATACTGATTTTATTTTATTTAACTTGAACTTTAATCCTGCCATTATTCCAATAATGATTAAGCTCTGTCCTGAAAAACCAATATTTTTCCCCTCAAAAACATATTTTCCTCCTCCAACTCAAGGTATCATAAACTAATGCTATCTTAAATGGTTCATTTGAAGTAATTTCCTTTCAACCTCTCCATGTTTAACATTTCAAACTTATCATTTTAAATCCTTATTGACCAAACTCTGTATAACAATACTTTCAAATATTTTACTATTTAATCTCCATAAAAGTCAATCAAAGCCAATGAAGATGGCCCAGAGGAGTACTATGCAAGGATGGATCATTTTTATTGATCTCTCTTGCCTTAAAAGCACTGTTTGCCTGTAAATTTGCATTACTATGTACAGTTACTACCTTCAAGCTGAATGCACAAGGTGACAACAAACTTAATAAATAGAACAGTTTCTCTATGAACTTATCACTTCCTACAATTAGAATGTCCCAAGTGAGGTGCCAACTGAATGTATCAAGTGGAACATATGCCACAACCCCTAGTTTCAACCACGTGTATCCAATCTGATAATATGTAACTTTGATTATAAGAAACGATGGAATGAAACATATTCATGAGTAGTCAAACAAACCAATATGTTCTCTTGATTATGTCACGTTTTAAGGATTTGTTTAACCACTGTATAACAAGCACTAAGCGTAGTTATCCTCAAACGTAACCAAGAAATCTCCTTGAATTACTAAGATTCAACTAACACCCCTATCACTAGGAAAGTTTTTAAAAACTGCTGTCTACACAGGATTTATTTTCTCAACTTGAAATAATATCTTCTAAAAAATTAATATACACACTAAAATTGAAAATCGCCCAACTAAGCCTTAGTTGTAATTGAACAAACACTGTTTACAGGAAAATTCATACTGAAGTACAACAACCCTTTCTTCTTATGATAATATTTACAAGCACCCATCACAGAGCCCCTTGTTAAAGAAATAGACAGAAAAAGGATTTTCAGAGTTCAACATTGACAAATAGTTTAGATCCAGTTGTAAATATTTAATTACCATTAGAATAGTATAAAGTCTTAGCTTTAGTTTGTGGTCATACAGTTTACCTCAAAGAAAATTTTTCTAGCAAAGAAATGCATCAACAACCTTGAATCTGGCGGAGAAAATAAACATTATGGCAGACTTTAATTTTGAAATAGGTGCCATTATAGCAGACTATAGCAGAGCACATGAAGAAGGCATAATATGATAAAATGATATTAATGTTTACACAGCAGTTTCAGCAAAGACAAAAAACACATGATGAGCCCAAATAAGAAATCTATAGACTGGGACCAACCAGTGTCTTTATTTGCTTGCTGACGGGCAACAGCTTGAGCGTCCTTCACACTACCAACAATCTCCAGCTCTACATTTTCTCCAAAGGCTTCTTTTTGGGCCATTAGCTGTGAATAAATAACATAGAGAGGCGGA